CTTATGGTTCTCATTTGAAACATGGGAACACAATAAGCTCCTCAAGGAGGAATAATTAACACATGAAGATCATTTGCTACAGTGCCTGGTGCACAAAAGCTTCAAAGAAAATGTAATTTGTGTTGAGCAGCTGTTTAGTAAGGAAGAGATTAAGCTTAGAGTCAGACAGATTGAGTTTGAGTGTTGGCGATGTCACATACAACTATGTGGCCTTTGGCGGGCTGCTTCAATTCTGTACCTTAAATGGGAATAATGAGAGCACCTGCTTTGTGGAGGGTGGCGAGCAATGAGTGAGTTAATACATATACAGTGCCTGCCACACAGGAAACTCTCAAGAGAAATCTTAGCCATTCATTGGAATAAGAATTAGCAAATTACCCATCTCATGAAGTTTTAGTAGGTTTATATAAAACAATCCGTAAAAGTGCTTAAGTAGCAAAGCTTCTAGCTCATATGAAGTACTTTAGTATTAGATATTACATTGGTGATTATTATTACTACGATTATTGGTATTTCACTATATTGAATAGTTCCGTAATATAAGACGAACTTCTACATTTCTAGCAACAATGATGTGTTAAGAGCAAATAATTAGATGCTATCATGAGTCGGTTAAAACAGCATTTCCACATGTGGAATTGAAAAGGGTGGCAATAATATACCTAAAGAAAATACAAAATATATTAGCCTTTATGGAAATGTCTTACTTTACTACTTTCCAACTTTTTGTAACACAGATTTTTCTAAGTTTTCAACGTTTTGCCATCTGAGTTAAGGATATATTTTTTTTCTTCAAAGTAATTTGAGTCAGTCCCCTGGTATTTAGCTAAATTGAACTCCGGCATTTTGGAACAGTGTCTGTTGACACAAATATATTTGGCATCACTGGGGAATTTAAAACTACATACAGATAGTGTCATGCATGATCCCTCAAACCCAAGATGACAGTATTATTATGAAGTACAAGTGTTGCTTAAAAGTTTTGTGCTGTCGTTTGTCCTCTAAACACAGAGGTACATGCCTGTCTGGGAGTTACAAGGATTTAACTATAGTTTTATGAGCATTCGTAACAGAGTACACAAGGCACTTTGCTACTTTGCTCAAGAAAAGAGGAATGAAAATCTGGTAAGATACCCAGGGAAACCTGTGTAACTTTCTACTCACCTTCTCTCTGATTTTGAGATTATCGTGGAGGGTGAAAATCAGCTCCCTTGCTCTCAGTTCATCCCAGAGGCACATATGATTCTCAACCTGGAAGATGTGGATTCACACTTGAGATTTTTTTTTTTCGGTCTTGCTTAGATATTTCCAGTCTAGGAAATTCCCTGCCAGCTGGATTAAACAACAACAACAAAAATCTAAGAATTCAGAAACTGGCTGGCCTGGGAAGAACATTGGTGACCCTGGATCTTCTGCAACAACATTTTATTTTTCTAAGTAAAGAAGTAACATGAGGAGGCCCAACTGCCGAATGACCAGACTTTGTCACCTTGCCTCGGTTTCAGGTTTTCATATGGCCTTTCAGAGGTCAAGAGAGGCACCGGCAACCTCCATATTAAAGCAAAGCAAACCAAAACAGAACAAAAAGAAGACAAAGAAGAAAAAGACATGCCAAAATAGGGTTACAGCATTGGTGGTGCATTTTAAATGTCAGTATCTAAGAAGTAAACAATTTCAACCCACAAATGCACACCCACACACATTCAGTTTAATGCAATTATGCTATTCCCAAAAACGATTAAGGGAATTAGAGGATTCATTAAAAATACTGGTTCATCATTCAGGACAGATGTGGCCCAGTAATGAGACACAGAGTTAAGTTGGGAGAAAATAATATTCCCTTCTTCAAACAGACCAATGCTTCTCTGTACATATAGGTATAACCTAGTGGCATTGAGGCCCTGTGTGAGAGTGAGGACCCAGACCAGTGACCCTCCGGGTGTTCCCCTTCTTAAGCCTGGGGTGTTTGCACTTGGCAATATCCAGCTGCCTGTCTTTATAATGTCAACTCTCCGCTGTGGTCAAGTGAACAGATCAGCCCAAGAACCTGGGGCTGAACTGGCACCCTTACTAATGGCATCTATTTGTTTTTTTCCCCAGTTCTATGTGTTTTATTGCTCTGGAGGAAGAGAACCAGTTTGATCTCTTAATTTCGTGACAGTCAAAATGTAGCCAGAGCAGATGAAGCATATATTGATAAAGTCAATAGGCCCTGGATGGGGGCCGGGGCGGGGGGGTGGGAGGGTGTCTGTCGTGGCCTTAAGCTGGAGGCAAACATACGTACATTCTTAAAAGAAGCTACTGGTGAGGGCTCTTCCCACAAGAGAGGACCTCTCAGGAACATAAAAGGAGTCTGGAAACTAACCAAGGCTTCCCTAGAGGGGCACACTGGTCAAAGTTTGGTCCAAGCCTGAGCTGGTTACTGTCCCTGTGGCCAGTACCTCTGATTTGGCAGAAGGCAGAAGGCTTCTAAGTGGGCAGAGTAGCCATGACCTCAGTCCCATATGCCTCCTTCCCTGAAATTTCACTTGCAGATAACGGATAAGACTTCCATTTCTCTGCTCCCTGGGGGAAGCCAAGCCTGAGGGAAAGGGGAGGGTGGTTGTGGGAGGAGAAGAGTAAGAGTAAGATGGAATTCCAGCAGGTGGCAGTTGGTGCCAGTGAACTAGAAAGGCTTAAGTTGGGGTAGAGGGAGTCTGAGGATTGGGAACCCAGGTGTAAGATAGGGCAAATGGGAAAGAGGTAAGGGAGAGGAAGGAATAGCGACCAGAAGGCCTTAGCCTGGGGAAAGAGGTCTTCCTCAATGACCCCGTGGAAGGGGACTCATGGAAAAAGTCTGAGGCTGGTGCAAAATGGAGATTTATCCAGTTTCTCAGATGGGGGAGTGGGATGGCAGAGTGGGACGGTGGAGGTACCAAGAGGGCTTAGGACCCTGGGCCAGTGGCCCTGAAGCCCCTGCCCCTGCCTCTCACTGCAGACCTTTACCACATACTGCTACATGAGTTCATCTACTGATGAGAAGGTTACAAACTTTTTGGGGTCCTCACTGGGTCAAGGACCTTTGTTAAAGTATGTCAGGTCCGATGGTTCTCCAGAGGCTTCCTCCTTTCTGAGGCCTGCAGGGGGCTTTAGGACATAACAGTCCCCTGCTTCCTCTTCTAACCTCACCTCCTTCCATCCTCCCCTCAGTTACCCTTCCCGAATACCTGGCCCCTTTCCTCTAGACAAAGCAAGCAAGCTCCATTGCGGGGCGTTGGCACTCACTTGCCCAGATACAGCAGGACTTGCACCCCCTCGCTGTACTTGGACGTCTCTCTGCCCCTGTTAGTCCTCTAGGGCTGCTGTCACAAAGCACCCAGCTGGGTGACTTGAACAACAGAAACTAATTTCTCACAGTTCTAGAGGCTGGAAGTCCAAGAAGGTGCTGACAGGATTGATTTTCCCTGAGGGCCATGGGGGAAAAATCAGTTCCATGTCCCCCTCCTTGGTTTCTAGAGGACTGTCTTCTCCCCCACGTGTTCACACTGTCTTCCCTCCCTGTCCAATAAAGGGCACCAGTCATTTGGATTTCCGTTCACCCTAATGATCTAATTTTAACTTACTACTTCTCTAAAGACACTATCTCCAAATACAGTCACATTTTGAGGGAGTGGGGTATAGACTTCAGCATATGAATGAGAGGGGGATAGGGTTCGCCCCAAACAGCTTCCTATCATGGAAGCCTCCCAGACAACATTCAAAATAGAGTCCCTATTAACTGACACACATTTACTCATTCATTTTTCAAAGATTTCCCTCTATTTAAATGTCAACCCTAGAGGGACAAATTCTTTGTTTTGTTAACTGACTCATCTCCAGTGCCTGCCTAGTTGCTGCCTGGAGAGTAGCAGGCCCTCAATAAATATTCATGAACCAGTGAATGCATATTATGAAGCTATTGCAAATTACTCTGCAAAAAAAAAGCAGCGACAGAAAAAGACGCTCATGGTATACTGTTAAGAAAGCATGTTAAAAACAACTGTGTAGCATCATTTTCTTTTTAAATCGTATGCATATAATTTATCTTTATTAAAATAAAACTTGGAGGGGCACCTGGGTGGCTCAGTGGTTGAACGTCTACCTTCGGCTCAGGTCATGATCCCAGGGTCCTGGGATCGAGTCCTGCATCAGACTCCCTGTAGGGAACCTGCTTCTCCCTCTCCCTGTATCTCTGACTCTCTCTCTGTCTCTCATGATTAAATAAATAAAATCTTTAAAAAGTTAAAATTTAAATTTAAAATTTTTTAAAAACTTGGAGGTGCAACAAAATGCTAGTAGTGGGTGGTTCTTGGTGTAGGATTTTTATTTATTTTGATTTCTCTCATTTCTGTGCATTTTATTTCCCTTCAATGAATATATATTACTTTTGTACCAGGAAAAAAGTTATTAAAAGTTGACAGAAGATACTTTGTCATGACTTTTAGCAGGCCACTAAGAGAAAAAAAAAAACATCATTAATCATTTTTGTAGGGACATAGTGAGAGGGTAGTCTCTTGGAGCACAGGCTACGGAGTTGACCCGGTATGGATTCAAGTCCTCCTTTGCCACTTTCTACATTTGTCATCATCTCATGCATGTCTGTCACATGCACGAGTCTCTGTTTCTCATTTGCTTTTCGTTTGTTTGTTTTAAAGATTTTATTTATTAATGAGAGACACAGAGAGAGAGAGGCAGAAACACAGGCAGAGGGAGAAGCAGGCTCCATGCAGGGAGCCTGATGTGGGACTCGATCCAGACACTCCAGGACCACGCCCTGGGCCAAAGGCAGGCACTAAACCACTGAGCCATCCAGGGATCCCCTCTGTTTCTCATTTGTAAAATGCGGTAAGAGTGGTACACAGGGGATCTGAGTTGTCTTTCATCCCTGACTAGAATTTGATTATTCTTATCTCGGTGATTTGGAAATTTTAAGACACCAAGGATCAGAGACCAGTCTAAGGGTCCCTCTCTTCCCTCTCCAGGGCAGGCCAAGCAGTATCAGATACCCCACCCGTTGTTTCTGGGCTTAAGACCTGGCCTGAGGACAGGTGAGTGAGGCACTTGCCATAGGAGCCCTGTGAAAGGGGGTACAAATGCTCAGTAATCAAGATAATAATAAATAAATGGGATGTTTTGGAAAATAAAATTATGTAAAAAATCTATAATGAACAAAATATCAGCAATTTTAATAAAGATGGGATAAGTATTAGCAATTTCCCCGTTGCCTATGGCTCAGTGTATTACTGCTTCCAGCTGACAGCCCGAAGGTAGGGAACCTGCCATTATGTAAATTATTATTAATTACCACTTAATCATAATTAATTATCCAAACTATCCTGAATCTCAGAACCACCATTGTTCACTCTATGATTGTTCTGCCTCTAGTCAAGCACCTGTAAGGATACCCATAGGGAAAGGTGTATTTTTTGGATCCTGTTTCTTTCTCCTCTAAAGACACCTAATCACAATTGCTAACTCATCAGCCTTCTTACCTCAGCGAGGACTCTGAGGGCAAGCATCTCCTTATTTTTTAATAGAAACATAAAATGCCAGCAAAGCATGATTTCTACTCAACAGAGTGCTAAGCAGAGTTTACAGATGTGGCAGGCTCTTGCCCTGATACTTCTGGGGAAGGGCACACAGACCTTGGCATACCTGGCTTCAGGAACAGGCAACAGCAAACAGCATCTTCCCTCCACCTACTTCCCAGGAGAAGGGAAAATCCTTACGTAATGAGACCAGAGGGGTCAACGGTTTCGTGTGGAGCATTGCCCTGAGGGGCTTTCATATCACCACATCCTGAGATTTTTGTGGGTATATTAGTTTACACAGGTAAAGCACTTCCCAGTACACATTCACAGGGAGATTACTGGTTAACCATAGCAATGAGAGTAATATTTAAAGTCTTGCTTTCATGTGATGGTTTCATTTTACACTGGACACTTCATTTGCTGAAACCATAGATTCTAAGTGGCTCTACCGAAGTAATCCCTGGGAAAGTGTGAATGTTCTTAGGATGGAGACTTTAGGAGATTTCTCCTATTGCTCCTAAGTTTTATTTAATGTAAATGCTGGTTTCAAACATACAATTCGAAACATCACAAAATGCACGTAACGGATGGCAAATTTGTTTCTGAGAACACTTGCAGAATTCTGCGTTCTTTCTAACTACTAAAACGCTCAGGGAGCAAGGGAGGAAAGGGATTGCTTAAATGCCAGGTAATGCAGAAGACTTAGATTTGGTTACAGTAAATTTAAAGTGATCCGTTGTAAGGTGACGATCTGGACAAACTTCGTAACAGTGAAGGAACCAGCTGGGGTGGGGTGGAGTTATTTTATTTTTTATTTATTTTTTTTTGGGGGGGGGAGGTGGAGTTGTTTTAATTGAAGCAATGTTGCTCATCACCCCCCTCCCTTCCTCCCTTAGATTTTTGTATTAAATAGTGTTTACCGGGAAAGTGAAACTCACTGGGATTTTATATTCGTGTCCAATCAGAAATCTGACTACTCTGAGACCACTGTGCTGTGAGGGATAGCAACCAGTCCCAGACGTCCCGGCAGGCCAGGCACCTGACTCAAGTGAGGAAGCTGCAGGGCCCTCCGGCCTCAGGAGTCACGAAGTGCAGAGGCTCGGGGAGCCCAGCTGACAGCCAGAACTGCTGCTCCAGACCTAGGGCCCCAGGTGAGCCATCCTGGCCAGCTCCGGCTTTTAGATTCGCTGCAGGTGAGGCCACTGTGGTCCTGGAGCAGGGATGTGCAGTCCTCGCTGGGTCCTGGCTGCTTTCCTCTCCCACACATTTGAGGGTATTATAAAATCGCTGTTGTTTTCAAAGAAAAAGCTATCAGACAGCAGAAACTAGAAGTAGAGGCACAAAAGGGACTAGGGAGTACCGAAAAATAAGGAATGGTTATGATCACTCTTGAGTTGCGATTGTTGGTACTCTCAAATTCAGCTTTTTCATTCATGTATCCATTCATTCAAGAAAAGTTTATGAGACGGCTGCAAGCCAGGCATTACACACTTACCCCGCTGGGGATACAAGAGCTGAATAAAATAGCTCTGTCCTCGGGGGAATGCCTAGTTTAATTGGGGGGTGGGGGTGTTCAAACAAGTAAGCAATTATCCAATGTGATACCAGGCTGCATCATAGCAGACGTTTGCAGAAGGAATTTGTGGCATGAAAGATGCAGAATTTTACAGCCTTAAGGGAGTCAAAAAAGCTTGGCAGGGGGCTCTGCTTGAAACAAGCCTCAGAGAATGAGTAGAGGTTTACCAGATGGCCCAGGTGGGGCAGCTCCAACACTGTGTCTATGAAGAGCAGGGTAGACTGTGCTTGGGCACTGGCTTCAGCTGCTCCTGCTCCTGTTCTGTGACTTTTTCTTTGCCTTTTCCCAGCAAAGCTTTGACTATATAACCAGATCTTTTTTTTTTTTTTTTCCAGAGGGGCCAAGGTCCTAGCAACCCCACCACCACCACCACCACCACCACCACCACCACCAAATGCAATCTAAATCGTTCGTTTTTTTTTTTGTCGTTCTTTTTTCAACTGCACTTTCTCTACAAACACGTCTCTTAAGATAAATTTCCTGGTCCCTACATCTTCCCAGTTTGCTACCCTAATCCCTTCTGATAGGAAAATTCTAGAGGCAGTGCAAGATGGACTCCATGCTGTGAGGATAAAAATGGATTTGTCTCCACTCTAGGGCAAGAGAGTCATCATGAGGAAGAGATCGTGCCCTAAAATCTATGAGCTCTGTTTCTAGGGGACAAACTTGGTTACAAAGACTTCTTTAAACTTTTCCCTGCTGTCAAGTTTAATGAGACGACTCCTCCTACAGTGTTTCTAATATCAGCTTGATTTCAGGAGGCTGCTGTCAAAAAGGCTACCAGAAGACACTGAGGGGAACACTTTAAATCATTGCAAGAAAAAGTTTCAACTTCAGTAAGCCAACTTGGCCAAGGATTCCATTTTTCTTTTCAAGGATTCCATTTTAAGAGTAAAACTGACACATCCAAAATGGACACATCTTAAAAGCAACAAGATATCACACAAGTGAAACAATAGAAATAGCAAGGCATGGAATTTGGGGGTGGTGGTAAAGAGCATCAGTAGGATTGGGGAAAAACAACTGAAAGCATTTAATGTATTTATTTCTACTCTGCCTAGTTCTAAAGTGGATTTGGCAGGGATTTTATTTCCGGGGCAAGTGTGGAGGGCAGCTCTTTCCTGAAACTAGTTAAGTGCAGATTAAATGAGGTTATGGCCTTGGGATCTGGGAGTCAAGCTGGCATCTGCTATAGAAAACCGGGAGTCTGAATAGCTGTGGGCTAAGATTTTACATTTCCTATAGCACTTAGACAAATGCAACTGGAAGCAAACAGACCATTAAGTGGCAAAGAAGTCTCCAGAAAGGCAAAAACAAAGTCCTGGGCTCTTAAAACCACAGGCCCTTCCTAGAATTTGTCCTAGAAAGTGCCTTGCTGTTTGTGGAGTTGTAATCAACAGTGGACGTTTGGGGCCAGCACTGACTTGTCCAATGAACACTAACTGTCCTAACAGTATGGTGAACTAACATCTTTTAAAATTTTTTTTCAGAGCATCATTTCAAATAAATTAACATTCTCAAGTGGCTCACCAGGCAGAAAGAAACCTGCATGCTGTGAGAAGAGAGAAGGTAGGAGAATAGTTTAGAGGGTGTAGAGGCCCCACTAATGGGGCCCCTGAGTGTCTCTGAAAGAGACAGATGGGAAAGGCACTGGATACTTTACTTAAATATGAATACCAGCGCTATCAAATGCTCCACTTCACTAAAAAATGCTGATTATAATTTTCTAAAGTCAGGAATGAAAAAGTCAGATTGTTCCACATCAAATCAGATACAGTAATAATTCTTAACATTTTTGTTCACATATGCTATTGAGAACATGGTGATAAGGGTAGACTCTCTGCCCAGAAAAAAAAAAATGTATTACACACAAAATCCTATTCTATTCTATACGACTAGTTAGGATACTTGAGGTGGAATCCAGTCAGTCACAACACACTTATAATATATAATCCTAATCACCTGACTGCCATAAAATCTTTCTTGCATTTAAGCTAGTCTTATTCTATAGTTTAAGCCTCTCTCCACTTTTTCTGTCTTCTTAGCTTAAGAAAAGATCATTACAGAACTCTCTGTATAAGTTTTCTTTTTTTTTTTACAAAGTTTTTATTTTTTTTTTAATTTTTATTTATTTATGATAGTCACAGAGAGAGAGAGAGAGAGGCAGAGACACAGGCAGAGGGAGAAGCAGGCTCCATGCACCGGGAGCCCGACGTGGGATTCGATCCCGGGTCTCCAGGATCGCGCCCTGGGCCAAAGGCAGGCGCCAAACCGCTGCGCCACCCGGGGATCCCTATAAGTTTTCATATATGCTTGCAAAGGGATGTGAAATTTTATCATGATTCCTCTTGCTTTAGGCTGAAACTTCTCTAATCTGTCCTTATAGATTATAGCATAGAGTTCTGGTTACCATTCAATACCCAGTTATCCCCTCTGCATTAGTTACTCAGCTATATGATTACATTTTTCTGAGCCTTTCTTGCAGCTACATGGGGCCATTTGACTAAGCTTTAAGTCAGTGATAATGTAAGTTCTATGCTATGTGCATCTTCTTAAAAATCTCCGTACCCTTCCTCTACCCTGATGTCTGCAATGAAGATTTAATAGTCATTCTGGGCCATGGTTTTGAGGTATGATGGACAACACTACCTGTTGACTACCTTATTGGAAGAGAAATTTCATGAGAACCTTGTTTGTTTTGATCAAAACAACATCTTCAGCACCTAAAAAGTGTGTGGCCTGTGATAAGGGCTTACCTATTGAACAGGTATTGAATTAAAATATGAGTTTAAAACTCATGTAAAACTCTAATTACAAAGCCCTCCTGGGGTGCCTGCATTGCTCAGTTGGTTAAGCATCTGCTTTCAGCTCAGGTCATGATCTTGGGGTCCTGGGGTTGAGCTCCACATGGAGCTCCTTGCTTCATGCTTCTTCTCCCTCTGCCGTTCCCCCTGCTTGTGCTCTCTCACTCTTTCTCTCTCAAATAAATAAATAAAATAAAAATTTAAAAAGTCAGGACACCTGGGTGGCTCAGCGGTTAAGTGTTTGTCTTTGGTTCAGAGCATGATCCAGGGGTTCCAGGATGGAGTCCCACATCAAGCTGCCTACGAGGAGCCTGCTTCTCCTCTGCCTATGTCTCTGCCTCTCTATTTCTCATAAATAAATAAATAAAATCTTAAAAAAAATCTTAAAAAAAAGTCCTCCCAGGGGCTATTGAGCCATAAGTAGGTATATGCAAGGTCTCAGGTTCTATCACAGAATCAAACTCTTGCATATTTCAGATCACATTACTACTCTTTGCTTCCCTTTGCTCTGTCATTGGAGGATGGAGTTTGTTTTTAATGCCCTCCAATGTCCTCTTCAAACAAAATATCTTAAAATCCATTTTTATAACAACACTTTCCAATATTTTCTTAGCAGGTTTAAAATTCTTTCATTTTCAAGGTCATGCTAATCTATTTTGATGTGTATCTATCATTAAATGCAGGCACTATTTTATAATATAATCTTAGGCATTGTCTCAATTCTACAAGAATCCTCCAAAATAGGATCCCATGGGGCCCCTCAGTGATGCAGTCACTTGAGTATCCAACTCTTGTTTTAAGCTGGGGTCATGATCTCAGGGTTGTGGGATCGAGTCCAAGTCAGGCTCCATGCTCAGCACAGAGTCTACTTAGGATTCTCTCTTGCCCATCCCCACCGCATGTTCACGTGTGCTCTCTCTCTCTCTAAAATAAATAAATCTTTAAAAAAACAAAAATAAAATGGCATCTCACGACATTCCTAGAACTTCAGACATTATTATTATCTTGGAATGTAGTCACTTAGGATTTAACAAGATGTTGTTCACTGAAACCTGACTTTACTGAATCCTTTACCATCCTACTGTGGTTTCCCACATTTCAATTTATTGCCTATTTTTGTCCCCAAACTTTATTTATATCTTTTAAACTATTAAGCATGAATCATCCCTGCTTCTCTGATTTTTGGATTTTTATCTTTTTTTTTCGAGTGCAGTTGACACACAATGTTACATTAGTTTCTAGTATGCCTGCTTCCCTGATTTTTGAGGTTACCTTTTCTTTCTGCCATTCTAATAAAAGAAAACAGTCCTTGGGATCCCTGAGTGGTGCAGCGGTTTGGTGCCTGCCTTTGGCCCAGGGCGCGATCCTGGAGACCCGGGATCGAATCCCATATCAGGCTCCCGGTGCATGGAGCCTGCTTCTCCCTCTGCCTGTGTCTCTGCCTCTCTCTCTCTCTCTGTGACTATCATAAATAAATAAATAAATAAATAAATAAATAAATAAATAAATAAATAAAAAGAAAACAGTCCTCCCTCTGGTTCTTTTTTGGGTAACTTATGTGGTTAAAAGGTTTGTAAAATATACGTTTTTGCAATTACAGGTCATTTTTTTTTTATTTTTTTATTTTTTTCATTTTTTTTTTTTTAGATTTTATTTATTTATTCATCAGAGAGAGAGAGAGAAGAGAGAGAGGGAGAGAGGCAGAGACACAGGCAGAGGGAGAAACAGCCTCCATGCCGGGAGCCTGACATGGGACTCAATCCCCGGTCTCCAGGATCACACTCCAGGCCGAAGGTAGTGCTAAACCGCTGAGCCACCGAGGCTGCCCACATGTCATTTAAAAAAAGATTTTAAAAATGTATTTATTCATGAGAGACACACAGAGAAAGGCAGAGACATAGGCAGAGGGAGAAGCAGGCTCCATGCAGGGAGTGCAATGCAGGACTCAATCCCAGGACCCTGGGACCACACCCTGAGCCAAAGGCAGATGCTCAACCACTGAGCCACCCAGGCATCCCATGTCCTTTTCTTCTTAATTTTGTTTTTACTTGCACCTCAGAGTTGTTGTGATTTCATCTATTTGGGGAAAATAATCAGCCCCATCTACCTTTGTAACATAGCTGTTTATACTAGAACTTCTTGGTTTTTGGTCAAATCTTTTTTTACCCACCTTTAAGAGGAGATACCTACTTTTTGTAAATATGCATATTGAGCTTTTAGGAAGGGTTGACTTCTCTACACATTTTCCTCTCTTTCCCAGAGGAGCTTTCCAAATAGAAGCTTATTAAAATAGATAAACGTAGAGGTCCCTAGCTGAGCTCTTCCTAAGCCTCTCCTTTATCAGAAATGTCTGTGTGGCCACATGGATCCTTCCTTCTTCCTTGCTTTCCTATCAGTCCAAAACGAATCTATCCCAGCTCTGGAGTACATCCACTTCTGCCTTCTTGGCGACCTTCCTCCTTGAATTCTCTCATCTTCTTTAACTCCCAACTTTTTTTCTTCACATAATATATAACATATGAACTTTAACATATAGACTCACTTTTTTTTTTGCATTAAAAAAAAAAGTCCTTAACCATACATCTCCCTCTAACTTCTACTGCATCTCTCTTCTCAGTCAAATGTTTGGGAAGAGAAGCTCTCAATTCTGGTCTTCCTTTTCTCACCTCCTATTCACTTCTTTACTCACTGCCTGCCGGCTGGCTCACACACATCCCCAATCACCCAGTTGCCATAGGCAATGGCATTTGTAGCTTTCCCACACGTGACTCTTATTGTGCTCCTACTGGCCAGGCACTGTTCTATGTGCAGCCATGTAATGAGAGGCCGATGTGACACACACCCCCCCCACGGAACTCACTCATGGACCAGCCATTCCTAATACTCAGATCCTTTGAATTGACTGTGCACCTTTTCAGGCTTCACTTAAATGCCACTTAAATTTCTCTATTCTCCAGTCTTTCTTTTTAAAAAAATCTTTTTAAGGCTTTTTAATCATACACATCTTCTCAAGACAATTTTTCTATATATTCTAAAGACAACACAACTTTAAATGTTTTTTCACTTAACAGTATTTTATATAAAATGCTTCATTTACGAAAACTATAGATTCCAGGTTGTTCTAGCAAAATACTCACTAAGAAATGTTATATTCTTAGTGTGTCAACTTTAGGAGATTTCCTCACTTTTTTTCTTTTTGGTTTAAAATGTGTGTTATTTTTGAAAATGTAAGTTGGGATATCACAAAACAGACTTAGTCAAAAGAGACACATATCCAGCTTTCCACCAGAGAGCTCCTTCTGGATGTTCCACTTAACAGGGGAAGATGCTCTTCTTCCTCAAAGCTGTTTCTCCTCCTGCATTCTCTAGGAGAAAGTCACTGCTATCTACCCAGTCCTCCGAGCTGGGACCCAAGCAGCCATTCTGCGTCTTTTTTCACTTCTCCCTCCATACCTAGGCATCAAGCACCTCGATTCTACCTCCCGAAAGATCTCAAGTCCTTTCCCTGCACTCTAGTCACTGCTGCTGCCTTCTTTCCCCATTGAACATCAAGTCTCTGAATTGGCCTTGTTGCTGGGAGTGACCTCTCTACAAACCATCTGATAGTGACTCCTCAACTTCATATTATTCAATTGTCTCATGTTCCCTGGATGAAAATCCATCCTCTTCCCCCCAGCATCTACTTTGGGGTCAGTGGGATTTAGGTTTGAGTCCCTTTCCAGCAGGCTGACCCTCAGACAATTGGACTCTCCACGCCTTTGCTTTGTCCTGTGAGCTCACTGAGGGCAGAAGGGTTTCCCACATACAGTGCGCAGTGGATGGGAGACTGTTGAATGAAGGGAAAACGTTTTTATTTTATTTTATTTTATTTTATTTTATTTTATTTTATTTTATTTTATTTTTATTTTAAAGATTTTGTTTATTTATTCATTCATGAGAGACACACACAGAGAGAGAGGCAGAGACAGGCAGAGGGAGAAGCAGGCTCCATGCAGGGAGCCTGATGTGGGACTTGATCTCGGATCTCCAGGATCACGCCCTGGGCCAAAGGCAGGCGCTAAACCGCCAAGCCACAGGGATCCCCGAAGGGAAAACATTTTTAAATCTACATTAAAAAATTGTCTTTCCTTAAAAAAAAAAAATCCTGATATACCATATAACTTCTTCTCAAGGTTTACTTCTACCTTTATTTGCTAGCAGTCACTATAAGGTGTTTGGTGATCCACACTATCTGGGGTCAAATCCTGGCCCCACACCTGAGCAATCATGTGGCCTCAGGAATGTTACTTCATCTGGATTTCTTTTTCTTTTCTTTTCTTTTCTTTTTTTTCTTTTCTTTCTTTTTTTCTTTCTTTCTCTTCTTTTCTTTCTTCTTTCTCTTTTCTTTTGCTTTCTAGATTTTATTTATGAGAGACACAGAGAGAAAGAGAGACGGAGGCATAGGCAGAGAGAGAAGCAGGCTGTCCCTGCGGGGAGCCCCGTGGGGGACTTGATCCCAGGACCCTGAGATCATGACCTGAGCAGAAGGCAGACGCTCAACCACTGAGCCACCCGGGCGCCCCTCGTCTCAATTTCTTCTGCAAAATTTGTAAAAGGCTTGTTTTGGGGGGGGTTAAATGAGTACCTCCCTTGGGACGGGGTTGGGCGCACACTTAGGAGCTTGCCCAAACGTTAACCCTCGTTATCACCATCAGATCGGGACCGTGTCACCCCACCTGTCGCCCTCAATTTTGTATGAGAAAATCGTGCTTCGTGCGTTGTTGGCCAAAGAGGATTAAACTTGTGTCGCGGGAGGGCGAGGCAGAGGGGAGACAAGCGGGCTGGGAGGGACGAGATCGGCCCCTGGTTTCCCGACAACGAAGTGGACGGAGGGCGACCTGTCCCCGAGCCTCCTGCAAGACGCGCAGCGCAGCGCTCGCTGTACTGGGAGCGGGACCGCGGCTCGGCGAGTTGCTGCGGGGCAGCTGCAGGCGGAAACCAACACTCGGGAGGCAAGAGAGGAGGAGGAGGAGGAGCATCTTAGTTGCAAAAACGCCCGACAATTCGGGTGGAACTAAGTTCGGTGACCGAGACCTTCGAGGAGTCCGCTGTCAGAGCCGGTGGAACCGAGCTGCGGACGGCAGCGGCTCGGAACCAGCACGACCTTGCCTACAGCCCAGCGCCCCGGGTCGGCTCGGAGCAGCAAACGCCCGCCGCGCTCCCAGCACGACCGGAAAACTCCCGGCGGCGCGAGATGAATGGAAACCCGAGTCCGCGGCGCGCCGCGCGGGGGGCGGAGCCGCCGCGGGCGGGGGCGGGGCATCGGGGTCACGTGCCCCAGCGCCGAGGCGGGCGCGTGGAGGGAGCTCGGGATCTGATTGGTCCCTCGTAACCAGGTGACCGCACAATGCGTTCCGGTTGGTAGGTGCCGGCCGGGCCAGCGGCCTTCACTCGGGAGGCGGCAGCGGAAGGAGGAGGAGCTGCGGCCGCGCTCTCTCCCGGCAGTGGCTGCGCGTCTCAGCGCCTGTCGGGTCCCCACCCCTTTTAAATAACCAGGGCTGGTCGCCGCCCTCGCAGACTAGTTGGCTCGGGGGAGGCGGCGGCGGCGGCGCGGCGGCGGGGGTGCGGCCGGGACCGGAGCCCTGCTCCGGGCCCGGCGGCGGGGCGGGCGAGGCCGCGGCTGCCTGCGCGGCGTAGCCCCGGGGCTGCCGGTGCCGACCGCGCCATTGTTGGGGGAGGGGGCGGCTGCTGAGCGCGGCGGAGTCGGGGGCGAGCGGCGGCGGCGAGGAGCCGAGGCGCCCCATGGGGAACACGCTGACCTGTTGCGTGTCCTCGAACGCCAGCCCCAAGCCGGGCCGGGGCACGGGGTCGGCGGATCCCGACTACGAGTCCGACGTGTACCAGGCGGCGGCCGGGGACGCGGTGGCAGTGGCGCCGGCGCCCGCTACCGTGGAGCCCGCCGAGTTGGATTTCGGAGCCGGCGAGGGCCACCACCTGCAGCACATCAGCGACCGGGAGATGCCCGAAGGTGAGGAGGAGGAGGAGGAGGCGGCGGGCCCGCGCCGCGCCTCTCGGGGGCCGGCGCTGCGGGGCGGCGGGCGGACCCCCGGGCTCCCCCGGGCTCCCCCGGGCCGGGCGCCGCGGATGAAGGCTGCCTCCGCCCGGCGTCCCCACCCCTCATCCTGCCCCCGTCGTGTCCGGCCGGTTGCGCTCCCGCTTCCCTGCCCCGCGCTCGCTCGGTGCTTTCCCAGCCCCGGCCCGAGACCCTCCAGCCCGCAACCCGTTTCCCGTTGGTCGGTCCACCTAACGCCTCGGGGACTTTCTCATACACTTTTTGGTGTATTCTCTCCATGAACATGTAAATACCCCAACTTCAGAGTTAACCGGCCCCGTCCCCGGCCCCGTCCCCGGCCCCGTCCCCGTCCCCGTCCCCTAGCCGAGGCGGGGAAGCCAGGTAAAGGTCCTGGATTCGCGGTGCAGTTCAGACTGGATTGTAGGGTTTGTTTGCCTAAATTCAAAACAGAGATTGATGGGCCTGTGAGAGTCCGTGTGGTGCTGTTAAGTAGTGGGCTGTTCTCGGCAGCCTCGGTGGAAGCCGCCTGACTCTGCCTGTGGTTTGAAGACGCACGGAAAGAAAATGATGGGAGGAAGGGGCTTGAAGTAACTGTGAGCGGTGGGAAGGGTTCCTGCCGGGGCTGCCCGAGGGGTCCCTAACGGACGGAGAGCCCGGGGAGTTCTCGCTACTTGAAAATTCCCACTTTGACCCAAATAGGTCTTCAGCCCCACCTCAGGGACGTAACAGGACTTCACTTACTGTGTTGCCTGTTCTAAAAATGAGAGGCGCGGGATGGTTCATGAGACTGTTGTTGGTCAAAAGTCTCCAAAGAGAACTCCCCCCCCCCCATAAATTCAGACCTTAATCTGTAATACAGAAGTTTGGCAGTTAAGGTGTCAGACCTCGCACAAGACTGTTTGTCTTCAAAGACCCCCCCTCCCCCCCCCCATCTATAGAATCCTGTTCAACTTATAAGAACGTTAGGGTAAAAGTTCTTCTGGCCAAATGGTTGGGGGAGGGGGAGGGAAGAGAGGAAATGTTTGATTTTTGCCTCTGGAATTTTGGAAAGGGATGACTACATAAAGATAATTCTGAGTAGTAACCCCTGGGCTCTTTCATGAAGTCTTACATTCCTTGAAGTAGAAAACATTGTATCATAAAGATGTTAAAGCCCGTTTGTTTCATTTAAGCGCCCCAGCTTATTTCATTATTTCCTAGAGGAAATGTCTTGTAGTTTTATTTATTTATTTATTTTTTTGTCTTGTAGTTGTTTTTTTTTTTTTTGTGTGTGTGTGTGTGTTTTTGTTTTTTGTTTTTTGTTTTTTTACTTAAACTTTAGTTGGGCTCTTCATTGAGTTACAACAATTGTCTGTGGATTTACTTCTATGATAGATGTGGCTTTGTAAGTGAAAAGTACTGCTTTTCAGAACACTGAAATATTGTAAAAGAACGAATTCTGCATTAATTGTGCTTTTAAACACAAAACATGTAGGTACTTGTGAAAACTTCAGCTCTGCTTGGTGCTGTAAGGTAAGCCTTTGAGCAATTTTAACAGGCTGGTCAGTAGATGGGTAGTGTTGGATGAGAGACCAAAGTTGGAGCTGTATGCAGTTCTTTGAAGATCTACAACACATCTTCATGTCCATCTCATTGGACCCTTCCAACTATAAGTAAGGCCCCTGTGTGTTCTCCCTGTCTTCCAAAGGAGGAGGAGAGACTCCAAGATGGGCAATGACTGTGTAACGTAGCTACTGAACAGAAGAGACTGACATGGAGGTACCTTGCCAAATTCAGTTCTTGGGGTGCCTAAAAAACTCTTTGGAGTACATCTGGTATTTGATTATTTATCCATAAGATAGGCCTATCTCAACTTACTGGTCTTGATTATTTCCATTCAGTTTATTGTTTGCAATTCAGAAGCAACTTTTACCTCTTCCTCCTATGTCTGTAATTCATTACAGTAGATATGACTAAAGCTACAAGTCATGAAATAGCCTAGAGTAACCAGTCAGGTAAACGGGTTGATGCATTTAAAAGACTTTGTTCAAATTGAAGCCAAGAACGCCCTGGGCAGAGGAACATTAGGAAAAGCTGATAAGGTGAGGTACCAGGTAGTAGGCATAGGGCTAAATGAGCATTAAACAAGAAGAGTTTTTAAAAAAATTATGGAATACACTATTATATTTAACATGATAGTTAAAATTTCGTTTGTCTTAAAATTTTCTTTGGCATTCAGTAGAATGATAAGCCTCAATTTCGGCATTTGCCTATTAGGTTTCCATAGAAACAAGGTCAGAACACCAAATATAAAGTATAGGCGCATTGAAAGTTTGCTTTTAACGTCTTTATTTCAGACAATTTTGTATCAGTTTCCCTGGAAACTAAGAAATACCTACTTAAATATAAAACATTTTGGCTTTTCTATGATGATTTTAATTAGTTCATTTCTTAGGCAGAAATCATCTGTAAATGATGCTGTACTTTGTTTTCCTGAAGCATTTCAGAAGAACATGATTTCTTCAAGCCATTTCAAAGAGATATTCCTAAGAATCTAGTATAGATTTCAGATAGAGTCAAAAGAATTTTTCTATCCTCTTACCTTTGCCTAACAGCATATCCACAATAACTTGTGGTAATAACACAAAATAAGATACAAAAGTCCTATTTTCCAACTTTATTATTACTCATCAACTTTTCATACAGCCTTTTACATTCTGACCTTATAGGCTTCACTAATTAGCTGGACATAAGTGCTCTCTCAAGTGACCCCTTCTTCCCCCTTCCCCTGAGGAGTGAGTGGGGAAGGAATTGGCAATATGATGTGGAAGAAAAAAAAAAGTCTGAGCAGTGGACCTTTCCTCTTTCCAGTAGCTATTTTAAACCTCTTTTTTATTTCTTTTGAAAACAATAGGCATTTGCTGTAAAAGACTTAGAAACTACAAAAAAGTCATTCACTTATAGTCAGACTATCCAGAACACTTTTATTAATATTTTAATGTTTACTCTTCCTAAACCTTTTGTGTTTATAAACATAACATTTTGTTTATTTTATAAAGATGAGATAACTCTTCATGTGTTGCTTTATAGCCTTTTGTTTTAAAGAGAAATAATCGGGACGCCTGGGCAGCTCAGCGGTTGAGCATCTGCCTTTGGCTCAGGACATGATCCCGGAGTCTAGGGATCAAGTCCCACATCAGGCTCCCTGCAGGGAGCCTGCTTCTCCCTCTGCCTATGTCTCTGCCTCTCGCTGTGTGTCTCATGAATAAATAAAATCTTAAAAAAATAAAGAGAAATAATGACCTAAAGCTCCCAGATCTGTGCTTGACACCTAGAGAGCATTCCAGGATGTATTTCCATGTAGTTGCACATAGCTACCACATGCCTTTTAATAACTGTTTAGTATGCCACTGAATGGTTGGAGCACCATTCATCCCTTTATAGTTGGGCATCTTCTATAGTAAAACAGGACATAACCCCATTATCATGTCTTATTCTGGGTACACAGATTAAAAACTGGTGCAAGTACCTCCCTTTAGATTTCAGATGATATACTTTGTCTTATGACTCAGTCATTTTGTAGGTAAAATACTTTAACATTAAATGTCCTTATACCAAATTGAAGTGACTGTTGGGTTTTCACTTGATACTAGAATTTCTCTTTCGGATTTTTGTGATACTTGGTAGCCTGTCTTGTGTCTTTAATTTGGAGTAACTACTACTCTAAGATCTGAAATAAGAGGACTAATCAAAAGAAGCATTAGAAGAAATCTTAGAAAAGACTGTAAAATTGGGAGAAACTTAATTGGGTTTGGATCCACTGAAGCAGGTGTTTATTGGGCACTGTTCCAGATGTAGGACAGTGCTATACAGGACAAAGCCCCTACCCCTAACTCCATACATTCTAGAGGACCTAAAGGCAGACAACACAGGAATAATCAAGAACCTTAGGTAGTGAGGTGCTGAAAGAAGGTGAAAAGAACGGGAGGAGGGCAGGTTTACATGAAGTGATTTAAAAGACTACTGCGGGATCCCTGGGTGGCGCAGCGGTTTGGCGCCTGCCTTTGGCCCAGGGCGCGATCCTGGAGACCCGGGATCGAATCCCACGTCGGGCTCCCGGTGCATGGAGCCTGCTTCTCCCTCTGCCTGTGTCTCTGCCTCTCTCTCCGTCTCTCTCTGTGTGACTATCATAAATAAATAAAAAATTAAAAAAAAAAAATAAAAAATAAAAGACTACTGCTCTCAAGTGACAAGTACACAGCCCTAAAGGTGAGAAGGTGTGGGAGGATGTGGAAGAAAGAGGCTCTGTGCCCAGTTCCGCACATGGGAATATGCTAGGTACAGGCAGAGGACAGAAAGACCCAGGAGTGGTTGCAGCAAGACAGAGAGGGATGCCAAGAGGGATGTGGTGGATTTAGACCTCGTGTGCCTGTTGGGCCTTCACAAAGAATATGGATCTTAGTTTAATTGTAATGGGAAACCATTGGAGGATTATATGCAGGAGAATGATTGTTAATTCTAGAAAAAAACAAAAAAAAACAAAACAAAAAAAAAAAAAACGACCAACCAGACTAGAGCTCTACTGTGTGAGAATGTATAACAGGCATGCATGGAAGCAAGGCGACCAGATAGAAGGCTGGTGCAGTACTTCAGGTGAGAGCCAACAGCGGATTGAACAGAAAACAATATGGGCCTAAAATATAGACTTAAAGAAATTAAGTGAATCTAAAAGGTAACAAAGATATGAATGGGCAACTCACAGAAAAGTGCAGATGACCCTCAAACATGTCTTCACTCATAGAAGAGATGCAAAATAAAACTATACTGTAGTTTGTCTCCTACTGGAAGAAGATCCATTGACACCACATTCTTTTGTGAGACTATGAAGAAACAGTTGTATTCATATATTGCTGATGGAAACGCAAAATGGTTTGATCCCTTGAAGGGGAAATGGGCACAATCTCACAACATTGCAG